CACCCCGCTTCTTTTCCGAGGTAGGCGCAGATGGCGTCACTCGAGCTCGATATTGATAAACCGCGGGGCTAACAAAAATGGGCTAGATTGATTCCAGGTGACCAAGGCTCTGTTGATTTTGCTAGGTGCGTGGCATCTGTCTCATACGAAACGTTCCCCCTCTTCTCACCAACACAACACACCATCCATCCATCCATCACTCGCGATATGGCTTCCGGACGCACTTTCAAGTTGAACTCTGGCTATGAGATCCCGGCCGTCGGGCTGGGAACTTGGGTATGTTTCTTCACCAACGACGCGACCGGAAAGATGGATACTGATAGTACGGCTATTCCAGCAATCGAAGCCGAACGAGGTGCGCGAGGCTGTCGTCGCTGCCCTGAAAGGAGGCTATCGTCACATCGACGCTGCTGCCATCTACGGCAACGAACAAGAGGTTGGAGATGGTATCAAAGCCTCGGGAGTTCCGCGAGAGGAGATCTTCGTGCGTGTACCCTTCATCCGCTTGATCTGAATTGCCTTTGAGTCCTGGACTGACCGCGACGGGGACCTAGCTTACCAGCAAATTGTGGAATACCCACCACCAGCCTGAACATGTCGAAGCCGCCGTGGACAAGACCCTAAGCGACCTTCAGACCGATTATTTGGACCTTTATCTGGTAGGAGGAAACAGCGGCGTTCAAGGATGCCGGATGGTGACTGATCAATGGTCTAGATCCACTGGCCGGTCTCGTTCCGGTACTCTTCGACAACCAACCAGCCGATCGTTGAGGAGACGGGCTTGATTGATGTGATTGATGTGCCGATCAAGGATACCTGGGCGGCAATGGAGGAGCTGGTGGCCAAGGGGAAGATTCGCTCCATTGGAGTGAGCAACTTCACCCGCGAGAAGATCGAGGAACTGCTCAAGACGTTCGTGGGCTCGTTTCTGGGAGACGATGAGTTGACTAACGTATTGCCAGAGCCAAAATCCCCCCTGCCGTGAACCAGATCGAGGCGCACCCCTATCTTCAGCAGCGGAACCTTCTGGAGTGGTCTAAACAACAAGTGAGTTTGCTGGCGACTGTGTGTGGACGGGTGGATTGACGGGTGCTGTGTCTAGGGCATTGTTGTGGAGGGATACTCTCCCCTCGGAAACAACATTTATAACATTCCGCGGTAGGTGGCGCTAAGCATATTCCGACGTCAGGTACAGTAACTAAGGTTGATTTAGCGCGGTCGACGATGCTCTCGTCATCGAAACGGCCAAGAAGCTGGGTAAGACCCCAGCGCAGGTGCTGATCAGCTGGGCGGTTCAGCGCGGCACCGTGGTGCTGCCCAAGTCGGTCACCCCCGAGAGAATCCAGAGCAACTTCGAAGGTATGCGCCATCTCAACTTCTATCGGATACCACGGATGTAGATCTGACCATACATTTGCCGATCTAGATTTTGTGCTGCCCGAAGAGGCATTCAACGCGATTCAATCCCTGGAAAAGCACCAACGCATGAATTTCCCGGCCCGCTTGGGGGTAGACATCTTTGGCGAGGTGGGCGAAGAGAGTGCTCGGAAAAGCGCATTGGCTTGGGCGGAAGAGCAGAAACGATTGAACGCTCAGGCTTGATGCAGCATGCAGTAGGATACAGTAGACAGTACATAGATGAATGTGATGGATATCCGAGTTCATCTCAATGGCCTCTGGTGTAGTAACCATCCACCCCTAGAGTCTACAGGCAGAACACGGAAAGTGTAGAGGCTGAGCCACAGTGTAAATTATATGGCACAACGCACCGGACTGGCGTCACTTGCGAGATAAAGTCATAAGGTCAGTGGTGTGAAATGATTAACCTGGGGATCCTCCCTTGCGTGGGTCGAGTGGTTGACGTCCTCCTCGGAAAAGAACAGGCAAACGAGATCTCGTCGTTTCCGACAGCCCTGGCTCTTTTCCGAATTATAGGAAACAAGGGTTCACAGCCCGTGCTTCAGGCCAGTCTTACCAGTCTTACCCCGCAATTAACCAAGTTACCAGCAGGAATTACCCCAGATTCTTCCCCATTTAAGCTTGGCAAAATCCTGGTCGGTCTCTGTCTTCTTGGCCGTGCTGTGGACAGGTCTGCTGGTTCTGATCCTCCACTTCCATTCAAATTCTATTACGCGAAAAGACCTTCGATACCCTACCAGCAGCCATGGCCGAAATCAGGAAAGATGTCACTTCAGACCATCTCGAATACAGCGACGATGGGAATACCACCAAGGGCCAGGACAGCGACCTGGTACGCAACATTCGCAACCTCCCCGACCATGAACGACAGCAGCTGGAGAAGAAATTGGTGCGCAAAGTAGACATTCGGCTGCTCATCATGATCGTGGTCATGTACATTCTGAATTACCTGGACCGCAACAACATTGCTGCCGCCAAGCTGGCCGGGCTGGAGACAGACTTGAATCTGAAGGGTGACCAGTATCAGGTAGATACACGTCCGGAGAAACATCCTTCAGTGCATAATTGACCCGTTGCCAGATTTCGGTCAGCATTCTGTTCATCGGATACTTGCTTATGCAGGGTAAGTCTAGTTGCTTGATGTTCAATATCAGCGTTTTCGGACTGATGGAGCCGTGCATAGTACCATCCAACATGATCTTAAACAAGCTGGGAAAGCCATCGCTCTACCTCCCCGGGTGTATGCTGGTGTGGGGTGTGATATCCTGCGCCACTGCTGCCACGCACAATTTCACCGGTCTACTACTCTGCCGTTTCTTTCTGGGATTCGTCGAGGCCGCCTATTTTGTATGTGGGCCAACATAACCGAAATGACATGATTGACGCCATGCTGATGACTCTCTAGCCCGGCTGCCTGTATCTGCTTTCCGCCTGGTACACTCGTAAAGAACTCGGGAAACGAACTGCACTGTTATATTCCGGTTCCTTGCTATCCGGTGCCTTCTCCGGTCTCATCTCGGCGGGAATCACCAGTGGACTGAATGGCGCACGAGGCCTGGGCGCTTGGAGATGGTTATTCATTATCGAAGGATCGCTTACCGTAAGTGTACGACACACCGGGGGTTGAAACAGAGGGACTAAAAAATAGGACCAGGTATTTGTCGCGTTCATCTCGTTCTTCATCATTCCCGATCTACCACGAACCACGCGATGGTTGTCGGAGGAAGAGAAAGCCCTGGCTGCGTGGCGGTTGGAGGCCGACATTGGTGAGGATGATTGGGTAGACCAGCAACACCAATCTATGTTGCATGGCGCCAAGTTGGCATTCCTGTGAGAGCCTCAAAGATATTGAGCTTTGGAGCTCAAGGAAATGGTTGCAGCTAACGCTTAGTCCAGCGATATCAAAGCCTGGCTCCTACTGGGGACCATCTACGGCTGCACAGCTTCAGGAGCTGTAACTACCTTCTTCCCCAGGTATGTCTCTGCATCAAACTTCTGGCGAAATAGAGCGCTGATGAGGTTTAGTGTAATGGCTGGTCTTGGAAAGAATAATATCGATACTTTGCTGCTCACGACGCCGCCGTATCTGATCGGAACAATTTTCGTCCTGATCAATGCCTGGCACGCCGATTTGACAGGGGAGCGCTATCTGCACATCGTCCTGCCTCCAATTCTCGCAATTGTGTCGTTCATCCTCGCCATGGCGGGGAGTTCTTTCGCCGCACGATATGTGTATGTTCCTTCTTTCTCTGGGACTGTTAATCAGTGAGGCTGACTTGAATTAGGGCGATGTGTATCATGCTTCCTGGAATCTATTCCAGCTATGTGGTAGCCCTGGGCTACATCTCCAACAGTATGGCGCATCCCATGTCACGCGTACAAGAGCACCTTGATTGACAAGATACAGTCCTCCCCCGTCCCGCAACAAAGCGAGCGGCGGCTCTTGCCTTGATCAATTGTCTGAGTAATGTTTGCCAGATCTATACCCCGTATCTATACCCGAGTAAGTTGTCCTTTTAACATGATGAGTCAAGTTTAGTGAAATGGTTGACTGATTGTTCTAATGACAGACTCGGCATCACCAAGATATATCACGGCATTCAGCGTGAACATCGCAATGTCTTCCATGACCATCATCTTTGCCACAATCCTGCGTCTTTACCTTGGACGACTGAACAAGCGGCTGGACCGAGAAGAGGGTACCAGTATGGGGGCCTCGAATAGCCAGCGACACGATAATGAAGAACATGGGCTGCCTGGTCAGGCGGTGACTCGAGGGTTTAGATTTCTGCTCTAGAGTCACTTCGGAGGTAGCAACTCGATGCTTCACTATGTGGTGATCTTGAGGCGATGGGAACTTGTGCATGACTCCAACCCCAGAATCAGGGCTGGTGGGCATTTAAGCTGCTTATCATGTCTACCGAGTCAACAGAAGTGAAAATGGAAACTTTCCAGGGGAAAGCATCGGCTTGATTAACCCATTCCCCCGGGGTGATCGATAGATCAATAGAGGGACAAAACTAGCGATGAAAGTGGGGCGTAGTTCGTGTTGACGTAGAGTCGAGGGCAATTCTTCCCGAGACGGAGACGCCGACCTCCGAGGAATTCCACCCACCTGAGGCCCACTGCAGCCGAGAGAATGTTATAAATGGTAAATAGTTCCTGATTGATTGCACGGTTCTGAGCAGACTTCGTCTCAGTCCTTTCCAAAGTCCACTTCGGCCCTTGTGGCCAGTCCCCTCCTTTAACCTGGTCGCCAGTGTCATTCTCTCATTCACCCACAATCATTTGTATATCGAACATGCAACTCACTCATTCTCTGTGGCCACTAGCCTGGCTCGTAAGCTACGGCATTGATGCTGTCTATGCCACCGACATCGACGTCTGTACCCAAGTCACCCGCAATGCAGTGGCCAACGGCGATTTCACGGACGAGTCGGCCTGGACCTCGACCTCCATCTCGGACGAATACTCGATCGTGACCAGTGGAGGTGTTCACAATGGAGGATATCTGTAAGTTACTGTAGTATCGTCTTCTGGCATGTCCACATGTCTTAATGTGCAATGCCTAGTGAGATACCCTATAGCACCGCGCAAAATGGATTCGTGCTGGAGCAACCCATCTCGCTGCGAGAGGGTCCGTATTACCAATTCAACATGTACGCCAACCTATTCGGAGAGCCAGACTCGAACGGGGACTATCCCTATTGCGAGATGGATGTCTACGCCGTCACTGAAGAGTCCTCCCGGTTTGTGACCTATGGCTACGTTTGGTCTTCGGATGGAAGTGCCACCGGTTGGGATTTGATCATGGGACAATGGCAGTCGACGACTACCGAGGCGACTCTCCGGTTGAGCATTACCTGCTCGCAGGCTTCGACGAGCACACTTCAGATCTCCAGCGTCTCGTTCTTGGGACCGGAAGTGGTTTGTACCTCCCAGTGTGCAGCTGCCACGACCACCTTGACCGGGGAATTGGTCCAAGACGGCGATTTCTCCGACGACGAGAGTACCGTATGGCGAGACATGTCACGGAGTACCAATCTCGACTTGGTGGACGATGATGCTCCAGGAGGTGGTCAATGCGTGTAAGTGAAAAACGCAGCCTTTGATTGAGAATGATTCCTCTAATTCTGTCGTATTAGGTTTGTGTCAGGCTCGAACTATAACTTCTACCAACTCAACCAGACGATTGCCGATGCACAAGTTGGGCAAACGTACGTGGCATCGGCTTCTTGGAGGCTTAAGGCAGATGACTTTGACTCCGATGTAGCCGTCTCTTGCAGTATCGACTACCGGTTGTCTGATGATGCCTCGGGACTCCTGTTGGATATCATTCATGACGAAGTCACGCTTTCATCCACTGATAGTGGTTGGATGACGGTGAATGGAAGCTGGGATGCCACGGTTTCAGACCTTCAGATCCTTGTCAGCATCCAATGCACTACCGACGATTATACCTATCTACCTGACATGGAAATTGCCAATGTCCACTTGAATATTCAAACCGTGAGTTGCCCAGTACCTACCACTTCATCAGCAGTGGTGGCGAGCTCGACTCCGGTGCGTTCATTGTCTGCCATCTCTTCCTCCGCGGCGATATCCTCGTCGGCAATTGTTAGCCCTAGCCGTGCTGTTGCGGCGTCTTCGCCCGCCTCATCCGTTGTGACGGTTTCCTCAGCGGCGATTCCCTCAGCAGCGGGCCCCTCAGCAGTGATCTCGTCGTCGGCAATTGTTAGCCCCAGCCGTACTCTTGCTGCTTCTTCTGGGCCCGTTTCACCTGGTCTGGCAGTGTTGTCAGCAGCGAGTTCTTCGTCACCAATTGCCAGTCCCAGTGGAATATCCGTTTCTTCAGCGTCCTCGGTTGCTATACCTTCCTCCACGCCTATCCGGTTGTCATCTGCTGTAGTAAGCCGCAGTCGCATTGCCGTTTCTTCCACCTCAGAAAGTCACACTGCTTTCACTCCTGTCACGACACCGGTGGTTGTCCCAGTTTCACTTCCCGGGCCCTCGTCGGTGGTGGCTTCATCAGCGCCTCCACTCATTTCTTCATCTGCATTGTCTCTTACTCTGACCGAAGGCAAACCTACCGCGGCTCCAGTGGTGACTCCAGGTTCCTCGAATCTGCCACCTACTGGTCTCCCTGCTAGCTTCGCTGTTACTAGGACAGCGCCGAGCACGGATGCGACGACATCAATTTCTGCTGGGCCTGCCCTGACTACATCCACAGTCTTCACCACTAGCACTGCTACGATCACTGCATGTCTTTCCACCATCCCTAACTGTCCTGCCTCCAAAAAGACCACATTCCTCACTACGGAAACTGTTCTCGTCTCAACCACAATCTGTCCCGTTGCAGCCACTGCAACCGTCGTCGATGATGGCTCCTATACCTCCACGATCTTGACGACCCGAACGATGACGATTACCTCGTGCGCTGCTAGCGTCACCAACTGCCCTGCTCGCGCCCAGACCACATTCCTAAGTACTCAGACATTGGTGGCTGGGACCACGGTCATTCCAGCCAAGGCAACCGTGGCTGTCGCAGCAACGGATTCAAGCCCTGCAAGCGCACCTAATTCCGCATTGCGCTATACCCACAATTCGGCACCTGCAGCTGGTGAAGACAGTGTCGCGGGAAGTCGAGGAGGTGATGGCCTGGCCAGCACAATCAGCCACTACGAGGCAGCTGCCACGTCCTCCGTGGATGACGTTGCTTCTAGCTCCAAGCCTGTATCTGTCTCTACTGGAACTGGAGCAGTTATCCCAGAATTGATCTCTAGTTCGAGTGACAGTTCGACTTCAGGCTTGAATGTCGGCTCAGGTGTTGGATCTAGCTCTGGTTCTGGTTCTGTAGCAGATTATCTACCGTCCGCGTCGAGCTCTAGCTCTGAGTCTTCCGCTGGGGCTGGTTTTGTCTCAGGCTCTATCCTAGGCTCCACCTCAGGTTCATCTGCAGACTCCTCCGCAGACTCCTCCGCAGACTCTTCTACATTTTCCTCTGCAAGTTACTCTGCAGGCCTCTCTGCAGAATTCTCCGCTGGAACCTTTTCCGGCTCCCCTTCACACTCCTCGGACTCTGTCCCCGGCTCTTCACTTGGTCTGTCTTCCAGCTCCTCGTCCAGCCAATCTTCTAGTCCCGTTGTCGATTATTCGTCCAAGGCTGCCTTCGACAGTGCCGCTAGCACAGGTTCCAGCCATCGCTCCGCGACCGACTCTATGATTGCCCCTGCTTTCGACTCAGGCCCTGCATCCGGCTCTCCCTCCGGTTCCCGCCCCAACACTGCCTCAAACAAGGGCACCGGCACCACCGCGCCGAGCAACCCTGACTCCACCCTTGACTCGGCCTCCATGTCAAACACCTCCCAGTCCGCACCAGATTCTTCCCCGTTTGGATCTGAATCAGGCGTCTCGACTATTTCTAGCACTGCGTTCAATGGTGATACCACGGCACAGAACGTACCCAACCCAATGGCACCTGCAGGCATGAAGGGCAGTGAAACAACATACACATCTTCGGCTGCGGCTGCCTTCGCTTCCACTCCGTCGAAATCACCCATCGGCACACCCGTAGCATCGTCTTTCGCCACCGTTAAAGCTACGGCGTATACCTCCGCAGCGCAAGGGTCGTCCAGTACCATCAGCGCTGCTGGGACCATGTTCACTGGCGCTGCCGCTAGCCATCGCGAGCATATGCCTGTCTGTGGGTTAATTGCTATCATTGTTGGTGTTTTGGTGTTGTGATAGCTGTTCTGATGGCTCGATATTTATTCGCTCTCACGTAACATGCTCCTAGGCTTCGTCCGGTGCTCAACCTCGGCCAGACTCACATTTACGAGATCGATTGTTCTAATATAATTTCACAATTCTGACCCGCAAGAAGGGGAAGGACAGGACGTTACTGGCATAGGATGATCGACACCGTCCAGAACATGACCAAGCATTATCTGAAAGTCTATGTAGATTGGTGGTGGTGAGCTTGTGGCTGCAAAATGAGGCCCTTTCGTCCTCGCGACCAATGGTCTTAGTCCTCTTCAAAGCGACGACAGTCTGAGCACCCCCCAAGTATTGCGATGATGGTATTATCTCTGTATAATGGATAGATAGTGTAAATTGCTGCCAGCAGTAAGTGTGCCCTCCAACCTGGGTTTTAGAGGCCAATTCCTAGACCCCACGACGGATCCGCATCTAAATCCCCCATATTGAACCACCCACACATATCTTGCAGAGAGTCCAAAGACAAAAGGACATCTGACTCGGAGCCGGACATTGAGGCCTCTGGCGTAGTTCCCGAGGCTTGTGTCCCCTCCCCGTGACTTAGACTGGGTAGCTCACTCGAGCCAGTACTCTCCCTGGAGCGCACACTGGCCGCCGTTGCGGAAGTGAGACCAAGCACGTGGCTCGCGATCGTCTGGATCTCGCGGACGTTCTTGGCGGTCCGGGGCCACAATGCGCCCAGTGTCTTGAGGCATCCGATGATCATGCGGATCTGGTCGCGTGCGATGGCCAACTCCTTGCCTGCCAACAGGCAGTAGCAGGCGGAAAGCAACGATAAGGCGCCCTCGCTGATCATGCAGGTGACGAATGGGGTATGATGGAATTGCTGTACGGGGAGGGCCAAGAGGCGGACCTGAGCTTCGACGGATCGCAAGACCCGGACCGTGTGGACGTTAACTAACTCGGGGGTAGGGGCGTCTGGGGGTGGGTCTCGGGAGCAGCTGGAGAGATCCTCAACCGGGTTGAATTTGAGGTCGGAAAACGGCCGGTGTAGGCCGATGGAGGCGCTTGTGCGGGATGGTGAGCTTTATCTGGGTTGGGCAAGAGCATTCTGCAACGTGCTTACACGTGAATGAGCAAGTGCGCTTGAAACATGAGCTCGTCGATCTCGCCGTTTTTACGCATGAGCTGCTTCCTGCTCGGAGGCAAGAGCAGCAGCCACCCGTCAAGTATTGAATCGGCGGTCTGAATGACTCTGGTCGAGTCTTCTTTGACTGTATTCCGTGGAGCGGTTGCAATCGCCATTGCGGCGCATCGCGCGGCACCGATCAGGTAGGTGAAGGATGAAAAGACCGGGTCATCGAGGGCGAACTCGCGGCAGTCAAAGTCCTGGAGGGTCTTGGGCGCTGGGATTACCTATACCCGCCTGAGTCCAGGAATCGATGAGGATGGATGGGATTTTTAGCTTACACCTGACTCATATTCATGTTCTTCGCATGGTAGTCCCGCCGTGGCCTCAACATCTAGGAATGCGAAGGTCATCGTGCCCAACGTGCCTGCGAAGAATAAGTCCAGAACATAGACCGCCCACCAGGCCCGCCGCCAACACTCTTGCAAAACTCGATCCTCACCACCGTGAATGACTGCAAACTGTGACTGATACATCTGTAGCTCTTTTGCCAGTCGTCCTGCCTGGTCGTTCTGAGACAATGCTTGCTCCTTCCGTCCATACCAGAACAGAGCGATGGAGTAGAGGAGGCGGGACGGAACCAGGACGGGATCGAGTGGGGAGGCTTGTGCAAGGCAGGTCTCAGCTTGCTCCTCCAAAGGGTCGGACCATTCGTGAGCATGATATATATGACCTATACAACACATGACGGCACGCAGAGGCCTCCATCGGACCTCGTGACTAGGATCGCGAAGGAGAGTTAGGAAGTGGGCCTGAGGTGGTGCATAAGGATGCAAAGAGTGGAAATGGCGGTAGTACAAGTCGAGCAGAACTGATTGATCTGATTGATCTAAATGACCGATGTGCGTCTGCGGGTGAGAAGAATTGGATGGAGGGGAGGGAGGGGAGGTAGTTGAAGTAGGGATGTTGGTGATGGTCTCGGTTGCCGCGGCGGCCAAGCGCTTGCGCCGTTCCGCCAGCGCAGCGCGGTCCAGACCCCCGCGACGCGACCGGGTGTACTCGCACGCTTGAGCCGCTTCGACGCAGCGACTGCAGGAGGGTCGTTTGCCGTCGCATTTGAGATGTCGACTCCGACATGGTAAGCATGCGAGCGATGAACGGGTGACCTTGGAACTCATGGTGAGTTTAAAGGTCTTTTGACATGGCGATGATGTTGATGATGGGTTTATCGATAAGAAGATGAAGAAAGAGTGGAGAGGCAGGGAAGGGAAGTGGGTGGGATGCGGGTGACTCAGCATTCGTGCCCAATGCAGACTAGCGCCGGGTATCCGGGAATCCCCCGGGAATCCCCTGGGAATCCCCTGGGAATCGCCAATTGAATGGCTATTGCTGTCAATGTGTATAGCATCAATGCCAAGGTGCCTCGTAGTACCCGGAATCCCGTCCACAGAATCCACTGCTCTATATATCTACAAACGATGCATCTCCGTAGCTTCCTTGTATCGTCTTTCACTCACCGAACACAGCTCACTCATATCTCAAATCATTCAACACCATTCCACCATGCCAGCCAAAATCGTCATCCTGGGAGCCGGGTTTGCCGGGCTCTGGAGCGCCCTGGCAGCCCAGCGCCTCATCAACCTCGCCAACCAGACCGACAACGTCAAAGTCCTGGTCATTGCTCCTAGTGCAACCTTAGTTCTCCGGCCCCGTCTCTATGAGGCAGACGCTGGCAACATGACCCACCCTCTGGGTCCCCTTTTCGCTGCCACTGGCATTGAGTTCTGCCCGGGGACCGCCCAAAGCATTGATCCCGATGCGCGCATCGTTCGTATGCAGTCCATCGATGGATTACAACACGGAGTCCCTTATGATCGTCTGATCGTAGCGACTGGAAGCTCGGTCGTTCAACCGCAAAGTATCAGCGGGCTTCGCCAACACGCGTTTGACGTGGACTCCCTGGAGTCTGCTGCGAAACTTGACGCGCATCTTGCCGCTCTCCAGTCTCTTTCCCCCAGCCCTGCACGAGATACCGTGGTGGTCTGCGGGGCTGGCTTTACGGGAATCGAATTGGCTGCGGAGCTACCCAAGCGACTAAGTCATATTGCCAACGTTCAGGTCATTCTGGTTGATCGGGCGGAAGATCTTGGCCCTGAGCTGGGGCCGGGACCGCGTCCAGTCATCGCGCAAGCCTTAGGCGAGGTCGGGGTTGAGTGTCGGTTGGGGTCAGGAATCCAGGCCGTTGATGCTGACGGAGTCGCCCTCATGTCCGGAGAACGCATCGCTACCAGAACCGCCATCTGGACCGCTGGGGTTCGGGCCACGCCCCTCACTCAGCAGATCCCGGGCCCCAAAGACACTCTCGCACGAGTCTTCGTTGATGAATGGCTTCGTGCCCCGTCTGCCGAGCATATCTTTGTCACTGGGGATGCTGCGTGCGCCATGGCGGACAGTGAAGGGCACTATGCCTTGATGTCCTGCCAGCATGCCCTGCAACTGGGCAGGGTAGCGGGTCATAATGCCGCAGCAGATCTTCTCGGTGAATCCATGGTGAAGTACTCCCAAGCAGCCTATCTGTGTTGTCTGGACTTGGGCGGTTGGGGTTCGGTGATCTCGGGTGGCTGGGAGCGGCATGTCCAGATGTCCGGGGAAGTGGCGAAGCGCGTCAAGTGCTACATCAACCAGAAGTTGATCTACCCACCTGAGGATGGCGATGAAGCTCTACGGGCTGCGAACCCAGTCGGTCCCGGCTCAGACGAGTTGCTACAGCAGATTCTTCAGGTTGTCTGACAGGGCGTGTCGTGTTCTGTCATGACAAATCGTCTTGCTTGATTTCTTATTCATGTTCTTTGTCAAGTAGCTTCGTGTGATTATAGTAAGATAGGATGATCTCAAGATTAGTTATACCGAAACTCCAAGATGTTGGGTAATCGTCAATTAGAGTGGGGTGGGCTATTGCACACAATGATAAAGAAGGCCGAACTCCTAGTCATATTCCTCGGACCAGCCGTAGGCATTAAATGCAGTCATCAGAGGGAGTGCTCAGGTTCCCCGTAGTAATACGGATTGAATTCCATTGGCAAAGAGCAACCTCGCATACTGGTAATGGAACTGTTTGAGAATTCCAGAGCCGAAAGGAACGTTTCTCTGCGGGTTGCACTGGAACGATTGGAGCTCAATCTGCACCTGGCTTTCGGCGCTTGGGTCTGTCTTGCCCGGGCCTTCCCCGCGACTACCTTCGATTCTTGTGATTTGGAATCGGTGACAGCCCGCGAATGAGGACTCATCCGACCCAAAGCCGTAGTCAATCCAACTAGTAGCTCGCCGACCGGGCTCAGCCACTTCTGACTCAACTGCAATGTGCTTGTCTAGAATCATAAATGTGCCGAAAAAGCAGGTGCCCACGGGATGAAGGCGGGAGTCGGAGACATGCGCCCGCCGCCAGAGGGTTTGGGCCGTGTGGCCCTCTCTCATAAAGCCTGGGTTATCATTTCATTAATGAGCTCTCCCATGCTTTGGCTCAGGAGATACGGACCGGTATACCCCACGGGTAGAATTCTTCCCCCAGCAGCTGTCAACAGCAGCCACTCCGGGACAAAAACGAAGCCACCAAAAAAGCCGCTCGTAAACAGTGCGAGGACTCGCTCGTCACTAGTGCCAGCTACAGCGGAGGCAGGAATCGTCTGGGTGACGCAGTCGGTGCCTATGACGTGCTGGCGTGGGTTGGCATAGGACGAACTGAGTGAAGTGAGAAACTCTGGGCGCACCGCAGCCGTCGAGGAGGAGTGAAGGACGGAGTGGAAAAAGGGCGAGCGAGGGATCAATCGAGCAGACATTTCTTATAGCATGTATCGATATGACCCCTGGTACAGTGTTGATATGGTTCTCTATTTATACTCCATGGATCCTTCCGATTCTACCCGAACCCCCTTCCGGCTTGTTATCGACATGACTCAGAAATGGCGGTGTTGGCCACTGACTATTCGAATGCTTATAGACGTAAGGCTGAGACTTACGATGAGACATAGTTACACCTTTCCCAAACCTGTCCGAGCTCGCAAAATGGGCTTATGCTTTATGCTCATCGCGACTGGGGCAAGACAAGGTCGTGTGCGGTCCACTGCGGGATTTGTGTCCCCTATCTCCTCGACGTCTTTGACGCCGCATAAGCTCAAATCCATCATTGATTAAACCCGACTCTGCTGACTATCACGCACCAGTCATTAGATCAAAGCAGTAGTCAATAGAGTAGTAGATCATTGAAAGGACCCTTAATGGCCTATGGGCCGAGTTTAGTGCAAGATACTGACTTGTTGCCTCAACACATATGTATGCAAACCTTTCCCGGCAATGATGGTGCCAATCACGAGCTATGCATGACTGAACGGAGCATCTTTGCCCTAAAGCGTGGCAGTCCCTACGACAGGACCTCGTCACGAGTAGGGATGCCAGGCAGGAGGGAGTAATTAACTCTGCGGCTAAGCTCTGGGGTTGGCGTGAGGGGAAGTGGGAACATTATGCTTATAGTCGATGATTGCGTGCATTTATCCGGCTGGAATGCGGGGACTCGCCATTGTTTCCCAGCTTCGATGCAGGTCCCCTCACCTTATCCTCGCTTATCCGGAAGCAATCTAATTTCTCCATAAATCACGCCTTCCATCAACCCATGCCCTGACATTTGGTGTCAGTGCCTGGAAGTACCTTGCAGCTCTGCAACCTCTTCCCTGAGTAATTTTCCGGTGGACTCTGCCCATCATGCGGGGTTTTGAAGTTTGCCTGCATAGAGTCAGTCACACTCGCATGTCGCGGCACATCAAGGACGCAACCTAGCACTCCCAATTAGAATATATTCAACAATGCCCCATGGAGAGTGTTTGGTTTGTCGGTGGGTTATACGGAACGCACCGAAGTATTTGTCTCACCATCATGCATCTTGGTTCCCTCTCAGCCTGGGCCGTGACTTGGCTCGCGGGTCAGGCACTGGCCATTGACCTAACCGTGTCTAAGACTGGAGGAAATGCATCCAGCCCTTTACTATATGGCATCATGTTTGAGGTCAGTGATGATAGTCTACCCGGCGCTCCGGCTACATATTAATTCCGGATTTTCCTGCTCAGGATATCAACAACTCAGGTACGATGTCGCCCAATTCATCTATCATGCCTCCCAGCCTTCTCTGGATCAGCTAATGCGAATATAGGCGATGGGGGAATTCATGGGCAGGTGCTTCGCAACAACGGGTTCCAGGGCACCAGCCCCGGACTGACTGCCTATGCCGCCGTAGGCAATGTCAACATCACACAGGATACTTCCAATCCTGTGAGCAGCGCCATCGCCTCTTCCCTCAAGGTCACAGTCCCCTCCGGAGCCACCGGCTACGTAGGATTTGCCAACACAGGTTACAATGGGGTTCCCGTTCTGGCTACCACGTACAGCAACTCGTTCTACATCAAAGGCGCCTACTCGGGGACGGTCAATCTCCGGCTCGTGGGAACCTCGAGCGGGATCGTCTATGCAGACCACAACATCACAGTGAAAAGTACTACCAGCAAGTTCACATCCTACGAGACGACCTTCAAGTCTAGTCAGTCTGCCGATGCAGACAATGAGTGGCAGTTGCGGTTTGATGCTACGAAGGTGGCTGGAAAGTCTCTTAATTTCGGCTTGGTGCAGCTTTTCCCACCCACATACAAGTCACGGTGAGTCTACCTAGTGGACATAAGTTCGACACTCCAGCTCGACCATTGTCTAACCAAACTATCTTGTTGCTGTGCAGACAAAACGGGTTGCGAAATGACGTTGCCAGCTTTCTTGCGGAGATCAAACCGTCCTTCCTGCGTTTCCCGGGAGGCAATAATCTGTAGGTTCAACGGTCGCGAACCGGGCTATTTTGTGGTACTGAGCCCTATCCTCTGCACAGTGAAGGAGCTAGTCCCAGCAATCGGTGGAAATGGAATGAGACTATTGGCGCTGTTGTCAATCGACCAGGTCGCCAAGGTATGACACATCTCCTTCATCCTATGAGCACACAGTTGGAGATCTATCTAATGGCTTGCAGGCGATTGGACTTACGCAAACACCGACGCACTGGGTACGTTCCTCAGCACTGCACGGAAGAAATTATGCTCATCCAACCCTTAGGCCTCGACGAGTATCTCTACTGGTGTGAAGACATGGG